GGTCCAGAGCTGAGTTCCAGTCCTGGATATCCTTGTTAATTTTCTGTCTTGTTGATCTGTCTAATACTGACAGATAATATTGGGTGTTAAAGCCTCCCACTATTATTGTGTGGGAGTCTAAGTCTCTTTGTAGGTCTCTTACAACTTGCTTTATGAATCTGGGTGCTCCTGTATTGGATGCATATATATTTAGGACAGTTAGCTCTTCTTGTTGCATCGATCCCTTTCCCATTATGTAATGCCCTTCTTTGTCTTGTTTGATCTTGGTTGGTTTAAAGTCCATTTTATCAGAGACTAGGATTGCAACCCCTGCTTTTTTTTTGCTTTCCATTTTCTTGGTAAATATTCCTCCATCCCTTTATTTTGAGCCTGTGTGTGTCTTCTCACGTGAGATGGGTCTCCTGAACACAGCACACCAATGAGTCTTGACTCTTTATCCAATTTGCCAGTCTGTGTCTTTTCATTGGGGCATTTAGCCTGTTTACATTTAAAGTTAATATTGTTATGTGTGAATTTGATCCTGCCATTATAATGTTGTTGGTTATTTTGCCCATTAGTTGATGCAGTTTCTTCATAGCATCAATGGTCTTTACAATTTGGTATGTTTTTGCAGTGGCTATTATTACCAGTTGTTCCTTTCCATGCATAGTGCTTCCTTCAAGAGCTCTTGTAAGGCAGGCCTGGTGGTGACAAAATCTCTCAGCATTTACTTGTCTATAAAGGATTTTATTTCTCTTTCACTTATGAAGCTTAGTTTGGCTGGATAGGAAATTCAGAACTGAAAATTCTTTTCTTTAAGAATGCTGAATATTGGTCCCCACTCTGTTCTGGCTTGTAGGGTTTCTGCTGAGAGATCCACTGTTAGTCTGATGGGCTTCCCTTTGTGGGTAACCTGAGCCTTCTTTCTGGCTGCCCTTTACATTTTTTCCCTCATTTCAACCTTGGTGAATCTGACGATTATGTGTCTTGGAGTTGCTCTTCTTGAGGACTATCTTTGTAGTGCTCTCTGTATTTCCTGAATTTGAATGTTCACCTGTCTTGCTAGACTGGGGAGGTTCGCCTGGATAATATCCTGAAGAGTGTTTTCAACCTTGGTTCCATTCTCCCCATCACTTTCAGGTACACCAATCAAATGTAGATTTGATCTTTTCACATAATCCCATATTTCTTGGAGGCTTTGTTCATTTCTTTTCACTCTTTTTTATCTAATCTTGTCTTTTTGCTTTATTTCATTGAGTTGATCTTCAGTCTCTGATATCCGTTCTTCTGCTTGATCGATTCAGCTATTGATACTTGTGTATGCTTCAGAAAGTTCTCGTGCTATGTTTTTCAGCTCCATCAGGTCATTTATGTTCCTCTCTAAGCTGGTTATTCTAGTTAGCATTCATCTAGCCTTTTTTCAAGGTTCTCACCTTCCTAGCATTGGGTTAGAACATGCTCCTTTAGCTTGGAGGAGTTTGTTATTACCTGCCTTCTAAAGCCTACTTCTGTCACCTCGTCAAACTCATTCTCTGTCCAGTTTTGTTCCCTTGCTGGCAAGGAGTTGTGATCCTTTGGAGGAGAGGAGGTGTTCGGGTTTTTGAAATTTTCAGCCTTTTTGCGCTGGTTTCTCCCCATCTCTGTGGATTTATCTACCTTTGGTCTTTGAAGTTGGTGACCTTCAGATGGGGTCTCTGAGTGGATGTCCTTTTTGTTGACACTGATGCTATTCCTTTCTGTTTGTTGGTTTTCCTTCTAACAGGCCCCTCTGCTGCAGGTTTGCTGGAGTTTGCCGGAGTTCCACTCCAGACCCTGTTTGCCTGGGTATCACTGGTGGAGGCTGCAGAACAGCAAAGATTGCTACCTGTTTCTTCCTCTGGAAGCTTCGTACCAGAGGGGCACCCACCAGAGGCCAGTCAGAGCTCTCCTGTATGAGATGTCTATCTGCCCCTACAGGGAGGTGTCTCCCAGTCAGGATACACAGTGGTCAGGGACCCACTTGAGGAGGCAGTCTGTCCCTTATCAGAGCTTGAACACTGTGTTGGGAAATCTGCTGCTCTCTTCAGAGTTGCCAGGCAGGGATGTTTAAGTCTGGTGAAGCTGCGCCTACAACTGCCCCTTCCCCCGGGTGCTCTGTCCCAGGGAGGTGGGGGTTTTATCAATAAGTCCCTGACTGGGGCTGTTGCCTTGTTTTCAGAGATGGACTGCCCAGAGAGGAGAGGCAGTCTGGCCATAGCAGTCTTGCTGAGCTGTGGTGGGCTCCAACCAGTTTGAACTTCCCAGTGGCTTTGTTTACACTGTGAGGGTAAAACCGCCTACTCAAGTCTCAGCAATGATGGACGCCCTCCCCCTACGAAGCTCAAGTGTCTCAGGTCAAGCTCAGACTGCTGTGCTGGCCACGAGAATTTCAAGCCAATGGATCTTAGTTTGCTGGGTTCTGTGTGGGTGGGACCCACCAAACCAGATCACTTGGCTCCCTGGCTTCAGCCCCTTTTCCAGGGTAGTGAACAATTCTTTCTCATTGGCATCCCAGGCGCCACTGGGGTATGAAAAGAATCTCCTGTGGCTAGCTCAGTGTCTGTTCAAACAGCCGCCCAGTTTTGTGCTGGAAATCCAGGGCCCTGGTGGTGTAGAAACCAGAGGGAATCTCCTGGTCTGCAGGTTGCAAAGACCATGGGAAAAGCACAGTATCTGTCCCAGAGTACACAGTACAGTCCCTAATGGCTTCCCTTGGCTAGGAGATGGAGTTCCCCAACCCCTTGTGCTTGCTGGGTGAGTCAACATCCCACCCTGCTTTGGCTCACCGTCCTTGGGCTGCACCCACTGTCCAACCAGTTCCAGTGAGATGAACCAGGTACCTCAGTTGGAAATGTAGAAATCATCCACCTTCTGCGTCAATCTCACTGGGAGCTGGAATCCAGAGCTGTTCCTATTTGGCCATCTTGCCAGCAATCCAGAGAGATCCTTTTAAAAGAGAAGTTGTACCATGTCCCGCTTCTGCTCAAAACTATCCTCTAACTCCCATCTCACTTAGAGCAAAAATCAGATCCTTCACCACACCCTCCAGGCCCACCTGCTCTGGCCACAGTTCTGCCTTCATCTCAGTTTCTCTCTGTCCAGCCCTCCTGACCTCCTTGCTCTTTTTGGAACACAGACACCTTCCTGCCATAGTGCATTTCCACTGGAGGTTCCCCTGTCTGGAAAGAACTTCCCCAGACATCCTCACGGATAACTCATGTCCCTCAAATCTTTCCTCAAAGGTCACCTTTGCAATAAGGCCACACTGTACAACAGCCACCTTGGATCACTTACCCGAAGACACTTGCTACCTTCTAGCATCTTTCTTCCTTACTCTGCTCATAGTGTATCTATCCTCTGCTTCTTCCCACTGGAACACAGGCTCCACAAGGCCAAAGATTTTTCTGATTTCAGTTATGTTCCCCAGATGCAAAACCACTCTGTCCTATGTCTGTCAGACAACAAAGGTCAGTGGAATGAATGATCACTGTAGCACACCTCCCTGTTCTAAAGACAATAGCTTTATTAACATAGCTTCAGGCCAAATGCTGTTTTGTGACAGCTACAGCACAAGGTTCCCTCACACTGACATTCGGGATGGCCTGTGCTTTTCTCAACAGGGCTGCTTGTGCCCTCCCCACACCAACCCCCCCCACACCAACACCCCTCCCCCAACACACACACACACACATACACACACACTGTAGCACATAATCAGGTTTCTCTCTTCAGGAAAGAAAAAATCTAGACTATGGATCCAATTTTACAAACACATATAACTCTAAATTAGACTCTGCTTTATAGATTCATGAGTTTGGATTGGAGCCAGCACCAAGATTACCGGAACCAGGGCAGGGAGAGAGGGTAGGAGGGCAGAGTAGAATAGCAGTTCCACCAGAAACATACCTAAGATGAAAAATTATGGGATCCCTCCTCTCCGCTAATTCCAGAAACTGGTTCCTTTAAAAAGGTTGGGTGCAGCAACATGGACGGAAATGGAGGACATTAGGTTAAGTAAAGTAAGCCAGGCACAGAAAGACAAATATCACTCCGTCCTATATGTGGGAGCTACAAAAATTGATCTCAACAAAGTAGTGAATAGAATGGTGGTTACCCAAGGCTGGGAGGGCAGTAGGGAAGCAGGGGTTGATGAGAGGTTGGTTAATGGGTACAACAGTCAGATAGAAGGACTATGACCTAGTATTCAGTAGCATAATAGGGAAACAATAGTTAACAATAATATATTGTATATTTCAAAATAATTAGAAGAGAAGATTTAGAATGTTCCCAACACAAAGAAATGATAAATGTTTGAAGAGATGGATATCCTAGTTACTCAGATTTGATGATTACGCATCACATGCTTGTATCAAAATATCATACGTACCCCACAAATATGTACAACTGTTATGCATCCATAAAAATAGAAAATTCATAAAAAATAAAATAGAAATGTTAAAGAAAAGATGGAAAATACAATCTAGGAAAGAGGACTATTAGGAGGGCAGGAGCTGAATGGGTCTCAAAATTTGTCTCTCAATAGCACAGTGACTCCTGTGTGCAGAGGCCACCCTGGGCCATGTCTGAGTTTCTGTGACCACAGCTCCCGCAGGACAAGTTTCCACTGAAGGGACAAGGACAATGGAGCAGTGAAGGTGACCCAGCTGAGGACTGACCCCATAAAGCCCATGATGGACTCAACACCAACTGGGCACAGGCCCCGTCCACACTCAGCTCCCCACAGCCTTCTCCAGTCCCCACCTGCAACAGACTCTGCATAGAAAACAGGTGGATTCTGGAAGGTTCTCAGGTCTTTAATTCCTCTCTCTAATTTTAGGCATCGTCTCCTTTAATCCACCAACCTCTCATGGCAAGAATTTGAGGAAACAAATTTATATTCAGATTCTTATTTTCACTAGCCAAGTAACAGGTTGCAGCTCAGTGCACCACGAAGTTAAGACAGAGATGCAGACATCCAGCCCCACCTCTCTGGAACAGGAAAGATGACTGGGGAAGGAATGCAGGTCAGCGTGGATACGAGGGTCACGGTGGACACGGGGGTGGGCTGTCTCTCCACCTCCTCACATTGTGCTAACAGGGACGCAGACACATTCAGATGCCTTTGCAGAAAGAGATGCCAGAGGATCCTGAAGTCACAAAGGGGAGGCATGAGGAAATCCCATCATCTTAGTACCACAAAAAGCAGCTGTCTCAGGCTACAGAAAAAAATAGTCATGAACAAATTCAGGTCAGTCATGGTAAGTAGTGACACTGAACAGCCCACCACACACTCAAAATATCCCAGTCAAAGGATCCCCATAACCCAGTCCTTTCCCCTCTGCCCCACCCCCACCCACTTCAGATCCCCAGGGTCTCACCTTTACAATCCCTGAGAGACACATCAGAGCCCTGGGCACCATTGCTCCTTGGGGTAGAACAAAAACAGCAGCTGGTCAGAGCCCACAGGAGACGTGGGACAGGAGGAATTATGGGGTGGGTGAGCTCCTCCACATCCCAGTCTCCAACTTACACGCAGCCTGACAGTAGCTCCCTCCTTTTCCACCTGGGGGAAGAAAATGTCCTGTGAGGGGCCAGGAGGAAGGCAGGGCCATGAGGTCCTGGAGAAAACCCCTAGTCTTGGACTCCAGGGAAGTTTCCAGAAATGTGACTGCAGACCCAGGGCTGGATCAGGAAACATGAGGAAAGTGGGTGTGGGTTCTGGACAAACTGCCCTCCTGAGGTCTGTCCTCAGCAGGGACCTCCCCCGACCTGTGACTGCTGGGATCAGGTCCCCATCACCACAATCATCAAGGTGATACTCTTGTCACAGGTGCTTCATAAAGAGTAGGTATTGGCACATAGGGCCCAGGCTAGGTAGGCCTGTGTGTGTGGATGGTACTTCCCAGTAACGAGGCAGGACACGCCTCTACCTGAGGCTTGAAACACCCAGTGGGACAAGAAAACTCAGGCCCCACTCCTCTCCCCTTCCCTACCTGAGCTTTTCTTCCTCCACATCACAGAAGTGACCACAGCTCCAGTGACCACAGCTCCAAGGACAATCAGGCCAGCAACAATGGCTACGATGAGGATGACGGGCTGGGAAGACTGCTCTGGGAAAGGAAGGGAAGGTGAGAGGTCCTGACCCCCAGGGCTCAGCCCTGACCCTGCAGAAGGGCTCCTGCTTTCCCTGAGAAGAGACATGACCCCCCAGTCCCCCTCCTTACCCCATCTCAGGGTGAGGGGCTCCAGGAACCCCTCATGCTGCACATGGCACATGTATTTCTGCTCCTCTCCAGAAGGCACCACCACAGCTGCCCACTTCTGGAAGGTTCCATCCCCTGCCGGCCTGGTCTCCACAAGCTGCGTGTCCTGAGTTTGGTCCTCCCCATCCCACTGCCAGGTCAGTGTAATCTCCACAGGGTAGAAGCCCAGAGCCCAGCACCTCAGGATGGCCTCATGATCAGAGACGGGGTGGTGGGTCACGTGTGTCTTTGGGGGTTCTGAGGGGAAGAGTCAGAAAATTCAGGCACTTTGCACCTCTCATGGGACACCCCAGCAGTGCCCATGTGACTATCCTGAGAATGGACAGGACACCTGGGGTGGGGAAGGGAGCACAGAATTCAGACACCAGCCTGGAAACAGGCACCTGGAACAAGCTCCTATTACTTAGAAAGTTTTAGGCTCTGAGGGAGGAACAGCGACTTCTGGTCCTGACCTGAGTGGAGGCCGAGGGACTCAGAAGAGCTGGAATCAGACTCCTACACACACTGAGTGTGAGGCAGAGAACAAGGCCTGAGAGATAAAGTAACGGTGCCCAAGGCTGCTGCAGGGGTCAAAGGGGACTGCTGATCAGTATTCCAGGGATTGTCTTCCCTCCATTCCCTCAGAGACTTCATCCCTTAATTGTCCCAGAGAGCAGGTGGGCCCTCAGAGTCACTCTCTGGTACAGGATCCGGAAACCTAGGAGGATTCTTCCCACTCAGGAGCAGAGGGAGGGCGATATTCTAGCTTTGTTCCCGTTTTCCTCCTCTCCTGGCGTGAGGCCAGCCTAGGAGATCTACAAGAGATGGTGAGGCGCCCTGTGGCCCCCGGTACCCGCGCGCTGCAGCGTCTCCTTCCCGTTCTCCAGGTATCTGCGGAGCCACTCCAGGCACCTGTCCTCCAGGTAGGCTCTCACCCTCTCCGCCTCACGGGTCACCTCCCACTTGCGCAGGGAGATCTGAGCCGTGGTGTCCGCTGCGGTCCAGGAGCGCAGGTCCTCGTTCAGGGCGAGGTAATCCTTGCCATCGTAGGCGAACTGGTCGGACCCGCGGAGGAAGGGCCCATCTGGCCCCAGGTCGCAGCCGTACATCTTCTGGACTGTGTGAGGCCCTGGCCCCGCCCCCGCGGTCAGCCCCGCCCACCGAGCCCCGCCCCGCCCCGACCAACCCACAGGGATTTGGGCCCAAACCGAAAATGAAACCGGGTGAAGGCGCCTGGGGCTCTCCTGGGTCGAGGATCTGGGCCAGTCCCGCAGTCTCGGGGTGGATCGCGGACCTGGAGACTCGGGGACGACCCGGGCCATCCGTTGGGGATGGAGAGGGGTCGTGACCTGCGCCCCGCGCCGGGCTCACTCACCGGCCTCGCTTGGGTTGCAGCCGCGGAGCAGGGTCCGCAGGTTCACTTGGAAATTCTCTGCGTGGGTCTTGGCGCCCCGTGTCTCCCGCCCCCAACACTCCGGCTCCACCCACGGCGCCAGCGGCTCCATCCTCGGAATCGCCGCGTCGCTGTCGAATCGCACGAACTGCGTGTCGTCCACGTAGGCCACGTAGATGAACTGGGGCTCCCCGCGGCCGGGCCGGGACACTGAGGTGCCGAAATGCCTCATGGAGTGGGAGCCTGTGCGGGAGGGGCTGAGACCCGCCCGACCCTCCCCCCGGCGCGGCTCCCCGAGTCCTGCACCCCGCCGGGCGGCCCCTCGCTCCTCCCCGCAAAGGCCGTTTCCCTCCCGACCCCACACTCACCTGCCCAGGTCTCGGTCAGGGCCAGCGCCCCCGAGAGCAGCAGGAAGAGGGTTCGGGGCGCCAAGATCCCATCCTTGGCGTCTGTGGAGACTCTGAGTCGGCGTGGGTCTGCGGGAACTTTAAAACCGGGAACCGTGGCGACGCTGATTGGCTGCTCTCGAAACCCGACACCCAATGGGAGTGAGCACTGGCGCCGTGTCATCAGTATCCGGGAAAAAGGACCTGACAGGTTAGGAGAGGGAGAAGAGAGACGCTGGGGAGTTGCGGAATCCCCAAGGCTGAGCCTCGCCACCCCAGACACCGCCCTCGGGACCTGAAACCTAGAGAGCCAAGCTCCAGGGCCCTGGAACTTTGCTCTTACCCTGCCTCTTTTGTATCAAGCGCTCTATCTCAATGTCTCTCCGTTTCTTGGCCCAGGAGTTCTCTGAGAAACCAGGCAGAAACCTTCGGCATGTGCCCAGGCCCTCTCCCTTCACTTTTCATCCCAGAATCCCTGTCCCTGAACTAGACTTTCTGCCTCCCACTCCTTACCTGTCCCCCAGGACTCTTCTAGAAGAAAACTCACCCCAGGGAGCTTGGTGCCAGAGAGTGAGCTTGTCCTGGGAATGGAGGTGCAAAGACAGGGGTTGTTTTTTGTTTAAATCTGAAAAAGGTGTGCCTGAGCCCACGAGATAGAATAGAGACCAGTTTCCATTTTGTTTATTAGCTACAGTGAGTAGCAGAATCTTGGTAACCCCTGAATTATCAGGAAGCTAATCTGTAAAAAATGTGACTTTGTCATTACAACTGGACACACAAGGCTCCTAAGTTTTCCTCTTTCAGACTATATATCTGTGACTCTGGCTTGTATTTTAAAATTACCTTTATTTCATAGCCCTGAGTTTCTGTGTGAGTCCAGGACATCTCCTCAATACAAAGTAGCATAATGTGTTACTGTATGTTGCAACCAGGAGCTAGTACATTCATTCACCTCACAGTTGCAAGCACTGAATGCAGTCACAATGCCCCTCATCAGTGCTCAGGCACTGCCTGTTTTTAGAAAGTAACCACATCTAAGTGGTGTGCATATTTCATAGGAACACTTAGTATTTTTTTAAACCTGATTAAAAAGCAATTAAGTTTTTAGGCAGTCCCACATAAAGTATTAAAGACCAAATGCAAAAAAAAAAAAAAAAAAAAAAACACCCTTCGAGTCTCTGTAGATGAATGTATTAAAAATCTATTAAACAATGTGTTTAAACCTAAGAATTCTGCTGCTTTCGAATTTTTTCCCTCTGCTCCTTTTCCTCACCTCCTACTTCTCCAGTCCTTCCCTCCATCCCTCTCATTCCTCAGGATTCCTCCTCTCCCCTTAGTCCCCACCACTCTGTCACTCCTGAATAGCACCTCTAGCACTGTCCCATTACCTGCTACGTGACTGTTCTCTCCACAGTGGTCCTGCTACTGTGAGTTAGAGTGTAAGAGTTAAAGAAAAGGGAAAGAAACATGAAACGTGCTTAGCAGTTAAAGACAGGTTTACTTTAGATAAAACCTGACAGGGTCTTCTGACCAATTTTGGTCAGGAGCACTTTCTTTTACAGACTAAGAATATATATTGGTTTTAGGGTGAGGAGCTTATTACAAGCTTGAAATCTTCCTGTGTGAGGGAGAAGTTTTATGGCAGGGTTGGAATGTTTCTGGGAGGAGGTGAGTTTTTCTTGGGGCAGACATCTTCCTGGCCAGAGGGGTGTTATCTCGAAGCTAGCATGTCTCTGGTCGGGGAGGAGTTTGGAATGTTTCTGGTTGGAGATGTTATTTGTGGTTTATGGCCGTGCTGACTTTAGACATTAGGCTGATGCCCTTTGGATTTAGGCATTTTTTTATTAAGGTAACTTTAGAACGAGGGACTTATCAGAGATGGTGATGCTCCTGCTCTGTCACAGAGTATGTTTTTTCTTCACATAAAACACTCCAATGGCTCCATCTCACTCTTGTGAAGCTTATAGAGTGTAAGGCTCATGAGCATATGAGGGCACACTTGGTTCATCATAGGCACTAAATTAATTTTTGTTGATTGAATAAATGAAATACGAGTGTATTAAAATTTAATTGCATCATGGAAAATTATAAAATGAAAAACACTGGAAAAAGGTAAGAAAGATTTTATTTTATGCAACTACTGTGTATATAAATTCATAAATTCATTCCATGTACCTTTTGAGCCTGTGTATGAATTTTATATGACTGCATAACAAATTATCACAAACACTGGCTTTAAACAGCACCCATTTATTCATTTATTTTTAGAAACAGAGCCTGCCTCTGTCATCCAGGGTGAAGTGCAGTTGCACAATCATGGCTCACTGCTACCTCAAACTCCTGGGCTCAAGGGATCTGCCTGCCTCAGTCTCCAGAGTAGCTAGGATAACAGGCAAGTGTCACCATGCCCAGCTAATTAAATTTTTTTTCCTTTTTTGTAGAGAGGAAGGTCTCATCAAATTGCCCAGACTAGTCTCAAACTCATGGCTGCAAGTGATTCTCCTGAGTCATTCCCTCAAATGTTAGGATTACAGACATCAGCTACCACAGCAAGCCAAGCAACACCTATTTATTTGTTTACAGCTCCTTAGAAATCCCGGCATGATGTGGATAGGGTCTCTGTTCAGGGATTCCCAAAGCTGTGTTTTCATTTTGAGTTCCTCCTTCAAGCCTATACAGAGGTGACAGAATTCAGTTTCTGGCAGTTGTAGGACTGAAGTCCCTGTTCCTTGCAGACTGTCAGGATGGAGAGGGGCAAGAGCTGCACTCAATTCCTGGTCCCCACCACTGTTCTTTGCCACACAGCTCCTCCATTTTCAAAGCCCACAGTGCAGGAAACCATTCATGCTGAATTCCTCTCACACTGTGAATCTCTATGCTCAGGAAGAACCCAGTCCTTTCAAGGGCTCACAACATGAGGACAGCCCAAACCAGGATAGTCCCTGTCTTAAAGTCAACTGATTTAGGACCTTAATTATATGTGCAAATATCCCTTCACAGCAGCACCGACATTAGTGTTGGTTGAGTAACTGGGGGAAGGTGAATGACCAGGGGTGATTTTTGGAGGCCATGATAGAATCAGCCTAGCATGGCCTGGATCTTTCTTTTGTGTTTAATTGGAATATAGTTGGAAATTGAAATTCAAATAAAACAATCACTGTGAATGGTAATAAAATATATCTTATCTAGCCATTGAAATTCTTCTTACCTCTTAAAACCAAATGAAATGTTTACTATCTTATAATTAATTTAAGCCAGGTGCAGTGGCTGACGCCTGTAATCCCGATATTTTCAGAAGCAGAGGCAGAGGCAAATCGCTTGGTTCCAGGGGCTCAAGATCAGCCTGAATAACATGGCAAAACCCCTATCTCTACAAAAAATACAAAAAATTAGCCAGGTGTGGTGGTGCATGCCTGTACTCCCAGGTACTGGGATGGCTAAGGTGGGCAGATCACTTGAGCCCAGGAGGTTGAGGCTGCAGTGAGCTGTCGTCCTTCCAAGGCACTCCAGCCCAGGTGACAGAGCAAGACCTTTTCTCAATGATAGTAATAAATGTAGAGCAAATGAAAATTAAAGTGCAATAATTTTTCCTCTCTTATGAAGCTATATTAGTTATTTACTGTTATTTAACAAATCATTTAAATTTAGCAGCTCACAAAAACAAATATTTATCATCTCCTGCAGTTTCCAATGGTCAGGAATCTGGAAGAGGTTTCCCTGAGTGCTTCTGGCTCAGGGCCTCTCACAAGGTTACAGTCCAGCTGTCAGCCAGGGCTGCATTATCTCAGGGCTTAACTAGACTTGAAGATTCACATGAAACATGGCTCACTCACATGGCTATTGGAAGAGGCCTCAGTTTCTTGTTGTCTGGTCCCAGAAGGCCTCAGTTCCTTATTGTCTGGTCTCAGGAGCCCTCACTTCCTAGCCACATGGACCTTTCCACAGGGCTACTAATGACACAGCAGCTGGCTTTCCCCAGAGTTCATGATTCTAGAGACAGAGAGAGCAAAGGTGGAAAGCCACAATGTGTTTTATGTTTAACATCCCAAGTCACAAACTGTTATGTCAGCATTCCTCTATCAGTTAGAAATGCATCAAGTCCAGGCCACACTCACCAGGAGGGAATTAAGCTGCATCTCTGGAAGGGAGGATTCTCAAAGAATTCGCATATATGTTAAAAGCAAAATTAAAATTATTGTTTCAGGATTTTGTAAATCAAAAGCTTCTTTCATCTGATTCTTTTATTTAATGATTTCAGCTTCTCTTTTTAAAGTAATGATTAAAAGTTTGCGACATCGCAAAGCCTTGGGTGCTGAGGGGGGAAAAGTTTCAGACAGGAAGGAGATAAAATAATCTCTCTGAGTTTTTATTGCAAATACCTTTGATAACAATGATCTCTTTAATTTGTTGCAACACAGTTGAGAACATATAGTAACTAGATCAAATAGTTCCAAGACTTCAGTGCCATAACAATAATGCCTTGAAAATAAGTCTTTGTTTTTTCTAAGATGTCTCAAATGTGATTTTAAAATGCTCCAAATGCCAATTTTCGTATTCATATATCATCTTCAACAATATTTGCCTAATCAGATTGCTTTTCAGGTAGAAAAATGTGACTCTCATGCCTCAGTCAACATATCTAGCTTAGCATGATGCCAGTAACTTTGGTTGGATGCAGTTTCCCAAAATGGTTAGCTCCAATCTAGGAATAAGATTTTTCTAAAACTACCTTTTTGGTGGGCATCGTATAATAATCTTAACATCTTTGGTTCTGGTTTTGAATGAGATGTGATAGAAGCGATTTGGACACCACTATGGTTTGTGAACCCTGAAAATCTGAGACAGGACTCAGTTAATTTAGAAAGTACATTTTGCCAAGATTGAAGATACGCACCCATGACACAGCCTCAGGAAGTCCTGATGACTGTGCCCAAGGTGGTCAGAGCACAGTTGGGTCTTATACCTTCTCGGGAGACATGAGACATCAATCAACATATGCAAGATGAACTTTGCTTTCTTCTGGAACAATGGGACAACTCAAAGCAAAGGCGGGACAACTCGAAGCAGGGAGGGGCTTCCAGCTCACAGGTAGAT